TATGTATTTTGGAGTATAATTGGAGTCTGTTCAGATTTAATATTCAAAACACAATTAACTTAAATCTTCCTCTTAAAACAAGTGAAAATATTGAGGAAGCAGTTCATCACCTTACATCAATCATTCAACAGGCAGCTTGGAGAGCAACTCCAGATCTAAATCGGGGTAATAACTGTGAACCATATCCACATCATATAAAAATCTTAATCAACGAAAAGAGAAAATTAAGAAAACAGTGGCAAACTTACAGATCTCCTGAGAACAAAACTGAACTGAATAGGGCTACCCGTTTGCTTAAAAGAAAATTACACAAATACAAAGATCAGGGCATAAATGAATTTCTTGAAAGTCTTACTGCGACGGATGACACAAACTACTCTATTTGGAAACTCTCTAGGAAACTTAAACATCAGATTAAGCATGACGGTCCCATTAGAAATAAAGACGGTGATTGGGCCAAGGCCGATGAAGATAAAGTACAAGCATTCGCTAATCATCTCAGCCAAGTTTTTCAACCACACTCCAGAACTATCTGAAAGGAAGAAGAAGAATTAATTCACAAGAACTTAGATGCACCCTACCAGATGTCACCTCCTATAGAAAATATCAAAATTAACGAAATAAAAGAGTTAGTTAAACATCTCAATACTAAAAAAGCTCCAGGGTATGATTTAATATCGGGAAAAATCTGCAAAAATTTGCCCGAAGAAGGATTTCGGTTGCTTATGTACATATTTAACGCTATACTAAAGTTAGGCTATTTTCCGTTTCAATGGAAAATGGCACAAATCATTCTAATACCGAAACCAAATAAAGATCCACAAGAACTATCATCCTATCGTCCAATCAGTTTGCTTCCCATTATCTCTAAGATATTTGAGAGGATACTCCTTCAGAAAATGAATTCTATAATCGACAGACAAAAGTTAATACCTGATTATCAGTTTGGATTCAGGCAACAACATGGAACAATTGAGCAGGTACATAGAGTTGCCAAAGTAGCAAGAGATGCGATTGAAAAGAAAGAATACTGCACTGCAGCCTTTTTGGATGTCTCACAAGCATTTGATAAAGTATGGCATGAGGGGCTGCTATCTAAAATAAAAACTCACTTTCCTCATCCTCTGTATGCTCTTCTGAGATCCTATCTTACCAATCGATATTTCCAGGTCAGATGCAATGAAGCAGTATCAAACATATCTCCAATTCTATCGGGAGTACCTCAGGGTAGTATATTGGGACCAACTTTATACTTACTCTATACGGCAGATATTCCCACAAGAGTAAACAGCACAATCGCTACCTATGCAGATGATACTGTGATAATGGTTTCTAGCTCGGTTCCTGTTACAGCCTGTCAAAATTTACAAATTCATTTAAATGAACTAGAGAAATGGTTAAAACTGTGGCGAATTAAAGTAAATGGCAGCAAATCAGCACATATAACATTTACTTTACGCAAAGAGAGTGTACCATCTGTGTGCATAAACAATACCATAATACCCAAAAAAAGTGATGTTAAATACTTGGGAATACATTTTGACAGCCGACTAAATTGGGGAAAGCACATCTGGACAAAGCGACTGCAACTAGGATTAATATACAGGAAAATGTATTGGTTCATGAATAAAAAAATCCAAACTAAGTCTACATAATAAATTATTACTGTATAAATGTGTTCTAAAGCCAGTTTGGACCTACGGTATACAGATATGGGGTACAGCATCTAATTCTCACTTACTGAAACTTCAACGTTTCCAATCTAAAGTTTTGAGACATATTACCAATGCACCGTGGTACGTGCCCAATTATGTGATACACCGAGATCTTCAGATCCAAAATATTAAAGACACCGTTGTCTCACTCAGTGGCACTTACAAAAATAGACTACTAAACCATCCAAATACACTTGCCCAAGACCTACTTAAGCGACCAAGGAGAGGAAGACTAAAACGACGTGATCCTCCAGACCTTTCTATACCTTTATATACATAAACGTATATATCATGTTATAGCTACAACTGATACTACATATACCTAAAACTTATAATTGTGTGTGTTGTTATAATTTTAACTATTACTATTTTTTTTAATATGTTAGTAAAATGTCTTTGTAAATTGATATTTATATTTCAAATATTTATATATATTAGAAATTTATCTTAAGGATTTCTGTCACTGGACAGCTCTCCGCTATGTTAATTACTTGATAAACATATTGATTATTGTTTTTTTTTTATTTGTAGAAACAGATTTCAATAAATAAAGGATGAAAAAAAAATTATGTATTTTATATTAAATACCATTTAATTAATTGTTAATAATCGCAAACTGCTGACCACTAAGTATTGGAACATTTTTTACGTTCTCTCACGTTTCTTAAATTTTATCAGCGTGAGCAATATCTTTGCTTTGGCTTTGAAATTTGAAATCAAACATATGACTAGCTAGTGCGTTGTCAGCAATAATTGTCACACGTCATTTGAGTATGAATAATTAACAACCGTCAGTTTTTTTACGAGTAAAATGTAGAATGGCACGTGGAAAACCTACTGATCGAAAAGTTTGAGAAATTATTATTCATCAATACCATAAAGGAAAAACAATGTGTGAAATTTCCAGTGAATCGACTGTAGCAACAACTACTGTGTTTAATATAATTAAGAAATATAGTGAAACTGTCACTATTGATGTTCACAGCAAAAGCTCAGGTCGTCCAAAAGCTGCTTCTCAAAGGAGTTTTTTAATTAGAATATGTAAGTCGGGAAGAAGAAATACGCTACGAGAAGTAACTGCTAGGTGGAATAGAGAAACTGGGATGAATTTTTCCAGAGAATGCTGTCGCAAATATATCCAAAAAAGCAGTCTTAGTTTTTATAAGGCATGTGTAATACCTAGGTTCTTCTTTACGATATAAATTTTCTATTTTTTGATTTTTTTTGAGTAAGCCATTTTTGAGTAAGAAAAACCATTGTTGACGGAAACTCAAAACAAGAGGCATTACATTTGGCTAAATCAAAACTTTCGTGGGCCAAATATAACTGGAACAAAGTTATCTATAGCGACGAAAGCAAATTTGATGTCTGTGTTGGACATTATCGAAAGTGTGTGATTCAGGAAAAAACAGAAGCATTCCATAAAGATTGTATCAAAGGACTGTAAAGTTTTCACGAGGCATCATGGTGTAGGGTTGTATGTCGCTCAAAGGGTTGGAAACTCTACATTTTGTTAGACATAGTAAATGCAGCCAAATATCACGATATTCTTGAACATTCGTTTCTACCAACTGCGGAAAAGTTATATCCATCCTGGAATTTTATCTTTCAGCAGGACGGAGCCTCATGCCATACGCCTAAATCTACCAAAAAAAAAAAAATGGATAGGAAAATATGACATTAAAGTTTTGTCACATCTTTCTGGTAGCCTGGATCTTAATCCAATAGAGACACTTTGGCACAAAATGAAAAAACGCCTAAGAAATAACCCTCAGTGTATTTTTCCACAACTACGTGCTAAGTTGCAAAAAATATGAGATATTTTCACCCCTGAATTATGTGAATGTTTTGAAGATACAATGCCTAATAGAGTTCAGGGTGCCATTCAAGCTAAAGGTGACGTTACGCCTTATTAATTTTTATTTTAATTTGTTAAAAATCTCTTGTTCCAATATTTAGTTGTCAGCATTTTTTGATTATCAAACAGTTAATTAAATAGTAATCAACTTAAAATATATAATTAAACTGTAAAAATAATTCCATACATCGATACATCATAAAAAATGTTGGTAATTACAGATTTACAAAAAAAAAATAAAATAAAAAAATTTCGGTAAATTGGTATTTTATTCATAAAATAACTGCTTGTTCCATATAGTTCTTATTGCTCGTATCTAATATTTATTGTCTATCTATCTATTATTATTCAAAATAACTAAAAGTTTTATTCATATACTCGTATTAAAAAGTACCCAAGTCACTTATCATCTTCCTCGTAATCAACGTAAATATCATCGCGAATTTCTAGGACAACTATGTTAGTCACTAAATTATAATAAAATCTTTTGGCATCTTTATTGGTGAAAAATTTAGTCAGGTGTTGGAGGTCACTAAACTTGGCTAAATCAATAGGAAAATGCCAATTGTAGGAGTTACGAAGCTGCTGTCTTGTTAGGGGGTTATTTCCTTTATTGTTACATCCTTTAATGCCATCCACATCACGTTATTCTTATAAAATGCATCATAAAACAAAGTGCTAATATAATGATACTGTTGTTGTATCAGAGATCTTTAATCTTCGAATCGGTCTTATGGGAAATCGACTTGTCGGCTTGTACATTGGTGATAAGTAAAGAGCGGATAAAATGCAAAACAAAATCTTAAAATGCGCTTTAATGCACATATTTTTATAAAAAAATCCAAATTTTACGATTTCACAAAAATGCATTAAAATGGAAGTTGCATATTATCTGCCCTTTAGTGATAAGTAATTTGGCAACGCCTTGTGAATTCTATCTTACAATCTACAACAGAGTTAGGGTTTGCGTCTGCTTTGACTAATCACATCCCTCCATCTTTGGGGCACTTCTACATATATGATTTTTGATTACTATATCTATCACACTCCATATAGCTATGACTATGGATAAAAAACTTTCACACAACCCAGTCTTCTTTTTTCTGCAACGGAGTAGTGCAGGAATGGCGGAACAGTATAATTTTTGTTTTTATAGGAACATCAAGAACAAAAAATTAGCATATTATTGTTTCTTCATAATATATTTATAATATTTTAATGGCTTTAAACAACCAATATGAGATCATACTTATCATTTAAAATATGTACGACCACTTTGTGAAATTTTTTGACCCTTTTTATAACACTAAAATAAAAAGTTGCAAACAGTCCGTTTTTCTGAGGCACCATCCTCAATATAAGTATTTAATATTTATGTATAAAGTATCTTTGATTTATTAACGTTTATGATGACCCTTTAATTTTAGGTCGTAACTCAGGATACTAAAATCAGTCAAGCTCATTTGGTAGAAGCTTTACGGAAAACAAAACCTTCATTATCCAATCAAGAAAGATTAAAGTATGAAAGAATGTAAGTATTGTTGCACTGAATATATTTTGTGTGTTATTTTTATGTATATTTTTCAGATACGCAAGATTCCAAAGTGGATCTACGATAGACGACTTAAAAAGAGGAAGCAAGGCAACTTTAGCTTAGGTTCAAATAGGATTTTTTATGTTAGACTTGTTGGTATTTGTAATTTTTATTAAAGACTTGTTGTAATAATTTTAGTTGTATAATTTTACTATGTATGGTCACTATGAACCGTCGGTGTACAAAGGGTCGATCGCGTCAGCGCCTAGAGTCGATAGTGAAAGAATTTAAAATTATTCAGGCCCTAGTCAAAATATTCTAGGCAGAATGTTACCGAAGCTTCTCGAATGCCTGGTTGATATATAAATAAGTTTCGGAGATGGAGCATTATGCCCTCAGAAATGAACTTCTTCAGACATCCTAATCTTAGCAGATACATCATTAATAACGTCGCCGAAAGAATTGACCTTAGACTATAGGGGGATCGACGTCAGCTCCGTGACCAGATCGAGTGGTGTGGTGTTTTTAAAGACACTTGATCTTGCTTGATCACCCGTAACAAGGTAAGGAGAAGAATCGGTTTACTCAACGCTCTATGTGGTAAATTTTGGGCAGACACATTCACGGACACTAATACAGCTTTTCCGCGCTGCTGCAGATAAGATAAAGATTGTCATGATGATCGCCAACACTCGTAACGGATAGGCACATCAAGAAAAAGAAGAATACACACATACAAAACATACATGATTTAATACAGAGCTAATATATATGCCATGTTCAAGCGCGACCTAACACAACAACTGCTAGGATTGGAACGGGGTATCCTGCTTAAGATAAACTACAAACGACACGACTACCCGTCCCACCTCATACATCAACTATCCAGCCCATAAATGAGAGGCTCTCCTCTCTGAGCAGGAGTTACATGATTAAAACCATTAGCGACCAAAACTTCAGAGCCCAACATTCAACCAAAATTACCTGCTCTTCCTTTGGGAATGTATTCATCAGACACCCCAAAGAAAACTGCTCTTCCTTCCTACTAAAGTGCTGACCTTAGCCAGCCGCAAACTTCCTGAGGAATATATCCTGGATTCCCTGACGAATACATGAACATCCTGGAGGCAACTCCACTTTATTACTGTAATTAACTAAATAGCTCACTTCGAGCTTTGCTACGGACAGGGAGGGATCGGTTTTCTGTGATTTCCCGATCCCATTGTACATTTATTCCTGTCTCTAGGAGGCTGTAAACAGCCACAGCTGCCACCACCGCGACTCAATACATTCCACTATTATATTAATATTCTTAATTTAATTCATATTCATAATTTAATATACTAATAATTTCTGAAAAGGCCCGTTTTAGCACCAAACCTTTCACCTTCGACCACCTTGGACATCTACCTCCTCCGCAGGAACAACATACACCGATGTTTTAGGTGATTGATACTAAAAGGACAAACAGTAATGCGACGAAAAGAACATCTAAAGAGATACAGAACGACACAACGACAATGAAGATTATGTCAGTGTTTATTAAGTTACTATAAGTAGTTATATGCAAATTAGCAATATTTAAACGCAAATGGGTGCGGCGAAGAAAGTAGAGCGTACCATTTTAATATCGATTGGGAGGAAGAATTTTTGTTTATTATGTTCAAGGATAAATCTCATCTGTGGGAACAACAAATGTACACAGTATAGAGATAATAACCACTGAGATCGGAAAATGCACAATAACCTCGGTATATAAGCCCCCAAATCAGCCTTTTATATTTTCACCCCCAACTAACTTCCAATCACATCCCAATCAGCTTGTAGTGGGGACTTTAGCAGTCACAGTTTAGTCTGGGGCTATGTAGATTCGGACGCAAATGGAGTCGCAGTAGAAGCATGGGCCGAAACGAGTGGCCTCATGTTAATCCATGATCCTAAACTTCCACCATCTTTTCAGAGCAAAGTTTGTAAAAGAGGATATAACCCGGATATTTGTTTTACAAGTAACAACCTTGAAGACCGATATACCAAAATAGTATATGGCCCCATACCAAAAACTCAGCATAGACCAATTATTGGTATAAATATCTTTCCAATTGTCAGACCACAAGCTATTTCATTCAGAAGGAGATTTAACTTAAAAAAGGCAAACTGGCAAAAGTATGCAGATATGCTAGATTCTGAGCTGCTACGTCTTAAACCAAAAGTAGAGAACTACGAAACATTTGTAGAGGTACTCAAAAATATGTCTAGAAAAGCTATCCCCAGAGGATGTAGACAACAATATGTTCCCGGGATGTCCAGGGAGTCCAAAGAACTAATGAGAACATACGAAACCCTCTATTACCCTGACTGTATTAGCCAAGAAACGGTTGACTGCGGAGCAGTACTACTCCAGCAGCTAGGTCAAGCCAGACAGGAAAAGTGGATTGAGACCCTGGAAAAAATGGACATGACACATAGTAGCAAAATAGCATGAAACCTTGTAAAAAAACTTAGCGGTGATCCAAAAAAGCATAAACCACCTTGCAAGGTTATAGCAAACCAAGTCGCTGCTCAACTCCTTATGAATGGAAGAACTACGAACCGATATAAGGACCCAAACACTAGGAGAAGATTGGATTCGGAGACAAACTACCTAGGAACTCCTTTTACACTAAAAAAACTCCACAACGGTATGAATAGGTTAGAAAACGGGAAAGCTGCAGGTGCGGATGATATATAAAGTGAACAAATAAAGCATCTAGGTCAAGGAGCAAAAAACTGAATCTTGCAATTTTATAACACGTGCTGCAAAACCTGCGAAATTCCAAAATCATGAAGTAAATCTAAAGTAATGTTGTCTTGATAACACCAGGAAAAGACCCAGAAAACCCCAGTAGCTACAGACCTACTTCGCTGTTGTGCCACTTTTTCAAAATATACGAGAGACTCATACTCGCCAGAATAGAAAAAAATATCGACGAGCACCTCATCCCAAATCAAGGAGGATTCAGACTCGGCAAATCTTGCACTGGTCAAGTCCTCGCACTAACAGAAGACATTGAAGAGGGCTTTGAAGAAAAACTTATAACAGGGGCTGCTTTCGTAGTTTTGACAGCAGCCTATGACATAGTAACGCACAAAACATTGCTCCGCAAATTATACGGCATTCTTAATGACTACCATCTTGGTAATGTATGTTCCTTACTGCAAAACAGACGTTTTTTCGTTATGTTGGAGGGTCAAGTAAGAAGGTGGAGAGTTAAAAAAAAAACGGCCTCCCACAGGGAAGTGTTTTAGCACCAATGCTCTTCAATATATACACAAACGACCAACCTACGCCGATCGAAACCAAGCACTTCCTCTATGCTGAAGATCTTGCAATATGTGCTTAAGAAAATAGTTTTGAAGAAGTGGAGGAGAAACTCGAAACTGCCTTAAAAACAATGACAGCGTACTACCTGTAGAATTTCTTGAAACTCAATCCCTCTAAAACCCAAGTCTGCGCTTTTCACCTTCGCGCAAAGAAAGCCAAGCGAAAACTCCAAATTACGTGGAATTGTAATACATTAGCACACACAAACCAACCTATATATCTTGGAGTAACTCTGGACCGGTCCCTCACCTACCGACAACATTGCATAAAAACGAGAGGGAAGGTAACAACTTAGGAACAGCATACTCAGAAAGCTAACGGAAAATAAATGGGGTGCACGTCCTGGCGTTTTAAGAACAACGGCATAGGCACTGTGTTTCTCAACTGCTGAATATGTGTGCCCCGTTTGGAGCAGATCTGCCCACACCAAACAAGTTGATACTGCAATAAATGAGACATGCAGAATAGTAATGGGGTGCATGAAACCAACGCCACTCTTAAATCTATATAAAGCAGCGGGTTTTGCAGAACCCTCAACACGCAGAGGCGTTGCAGAGCACATAGAGAAAATTAAACAGATCACGGACGTGCGGCATGCCCTATACAAAGCTCGACAACCACGAAAGCGGCTAAAATTTAGGAAAAGCTTCCTTGGAACAGTGCAGGATGAACCGCGAGTATTTTCTTCTTCCCCAGGTTCAATGGACCGGTCAGTCCCTAGACTTTAAAACGTGGAAAACTATGAATAGGATAAGAACGAGGGTCGCTCCAGTAAAATCAAACATGACAAAATGGGGAAAAATCGACCAAGATGATGTGAACTGTGACTGTCGAGAAACACAGAATATGGAACATCTTCTTACATACAGAATCTGTCGTCATCGATGTACCCTTGAAGATTTGTGGCTTGCCAACAAAGATGGAACCGACGTAGTCCGATACTGGGCTGAAATTTTATGAATGACATGTTCGGACACGATAAAGTAAGTAAGGATAAATGTTTTTGCCTCGTTTGTCGATCTTCAGTGACACTGCCCAAAAGAGTTTTTTCGCCCAACAGTGACTTCGAAGACCAAACTTGCAAGATTTGAACAGTAGTTTAAAGGGAGATCAATCTATTTTCTCTAGACCAGCCAAACAATGAGTAGCTACACCAATCGCTTCTTTTAAAATTTTCTACATACTGGCGCAAGTTAAGAAACTTTCCGAAGGCGGAACCGTAGTGAAAGAAGCGTTTATTGAAGCAGCTAATGTATTACTTGTTGACTTCAAAAATAAAACGCATATTATATCTGCTATCAAAGAGATCAAGTTATCCCGTCTACAAAAAAATCACTCTTCTCATTTATAAAATATTTTTTATTACCAATAACCATAGAATACCCATTGATTCTATGGTAGTAAATAAGAGGTATAGGAACAGCTGTACATCTGTCAGAACATACCCGGGGGCAGACATAAATTCTGATCATGTACCAGTTGTAGGTAATTTCAAAGTCAGAATGAAGAAGGTTACAAGTAAGTCGATGAAGAAGTATGATTTTAGAAAACTGAAAGATCCCAATATTCGACTAAAGGTGAGTGAAAACCTCAATATGAAGGTGCTAAAATGCAGAAATGCAGGAACTATATAGGAAAGTCTGACCATCATACAAGAAAAAATGAGAGGAATAAAAGAACAACACCTGAAGAAAGACACAGAGAAACGGAAATCGTGGATGACCGATGAAATACTTGCGCTTATGGATCGAAGGAAAAAAAAAACAAAGAAAATCTCCAAGAATATAAGGTAATACATACCATCGTCAGAAGAAAAATAAGAGAAGCC